CACCCCCATCATCCTCCGCCTCCTCAAAGATTGATCAGGTGCCATCAAGCCGTCGATAGTAATAATATTAATAATAATGATGGAGGAAATATCTGTGGTCACTAGGAGTCGTCGACTTGACGGCACACATTCTATTATTATTATTAGTGGTGGTGGTGGTGGTCGCACAATCAGCCAGATGTTTAGACTAGATTTGGCGTTTTTATCCGCCCATCGAGTCCTTCCCAAGGGCCTGGGATAGCCACATGTTGTGGTTTGATGGTGTTAAAGGCATTGTCGCAGGATGTCAGCCCTTCCAAGCAAAGCTGCCTTTTGCCATTGACTGATGGTGATTTTGTCAATGCTGATAGTCCAAGTGGTGCTCCAGATGTTTTGGGATTGCAACCAAGGCGCCTATGACTATTATTATTATTTATTCTTCTGTAATATATCTCAGCAGACAGCAGCTGATTTTGAAAACAAGGACGGGGGAATACTTCAATGGGAGGCCACCAGCAGATTCCAGGGCCGAAGGCTAGACTGAGAAGTTGAAAAACCGTGAGGGGGGAGGCAGCGGCAGACCAACAGCTTCCAGACTTCTGCCACGCAAACTCTGTTGCCCCTGAAATTGCCCAAGTTCAAGCTTGACTCAAGGGGGAGATTTTACTATTTTAATTATATTTTATATATGTACATTCATTGAGAAAATCTATGAATGTGGTCGCTAGGAGTCAAAAACGACTTGATGGCACATAATCAAAATATATGTACAGTATGTACGTAGATATTGGTTCATTTTCTGTAGGCTTATTATATACTGCCCCACACACACACACACACACACAGTTTTTCGATGGGATGCCTTCTAGAAATATTCTAGAGTTCCCATCTCACCAAAATAAAAAGCTCGGCAAATGAGATGATTTTAGGGGGTGGAACCAGATGCATGTCAAGAGAGAATATTTCAGAGTCAGAGGAAAATCACAAGATTTCTCCAGTTGCCATCAGCCTAGTATCTCATTCTGTAACCGCTTAACAAGTAGATTTCTTCGTTCCTAAAACAAAAAGATGGACAAGCCATCAAAAATGCCTTTTCTTCCTAGATTTTAGGACCTAAAACTCAAAACATACACACCCACACATACCCACACTTCATATTTACGAGGAATGTAAATATAGCAACCTGTATGCTTCCTGTGAAAACAGGTAGAATGTTAGTTAATGAGAACACAGTCACAGTCTTAACTTAGGTCACGCGTGCATCTTTACCCCAAAAGTTACCTTGCTGGAGTAATTTGAACCCAAAGTGGCACCCATTTGGGATCATGGAAACTGAAATTTGTATCCAAGGTCTGTAGGCTACCAATTATAGCTTCCATAAACTTGAAAAAGTGGCTGCTTTGGGATCAGAGATCACAAGGACAGGTTTTGCGTGTGCTAAACCAAAAGCAGATGAATCACATTCCAATTATTGTGTGGCATAAACCTAACCACAGGATGGCAGTCTGTCCACGGCCAAAACTAAGTTTGTATCATATCTACAAATTCCAGCACTGAAGGAGAAACTTTCCTAGACTTTATTCCTGGATGTCTGGTTAAAGTGCTAGAAAATTAGAAATTCCTTTGGTTTTAAATATTGCCATTTTCTTCAAGAGCTGGTGCAGATTCTACACATTGATTTCAGGCTAACATCAAAGCGTCATATAGCAGGATTACATAAACAAGCACAATGCACCCTTTTACCTCCTGTTTTGGAAACTATTTTCTGTTAAACATTTTGCATGGTCTTCTATTTTTTTCCCAATGTATGGACTATATGCTATCCCCAAAATTGAAGCAGACCCTTCTTCCTTGTCAACTACCATGATTAATGTCACATTCATTGTTCTGGTCTTGGATATATTTTCCTTTTTCTCAGGCAAAAGTTTAGATAAGAATAAAAGCAGACATGGGCTGCTAGTAAAATAACTTTGTTTTTCCTTTAAAGCAAGATATTTTTGGCAAGCCAAACTTTCTAGCTCCCTCAGTTTAAAACAAAAGAGCATATGTTGTATTTTCACAATGTTGAGGAAAGTAATGTCCACATCAAAAACAAAGGAATAAATTAAGCCCCTTTTTATTAGGAGCAGAATCAAGGTACTTTAAAATGTGGTTTTAAAATCTGTAGGTAATAATGTTGCAAGAGGTGGTGAGAAGATCTACAAAAATAGCTCTTGCAGCTGGATGTTGAAATGAGATGAAAGCAAATAAATGATGCAAGGCTGAGGTAAGAGCTATCACTTCACAGGGATTTAAAAATGCACAATTTCAAGAACTTTCCTAGCTTTTCTCTCTGCTCCTTGAACTTTTATTAAGGCCATTTGAATTAAATTGTAAAAGAAATTTCACTACTCACTTTTAATTGCCATAATTCTGCTTTTAATTACGTTAACCACTTGAAGTGCTTTTTAAGAAAAAAAGCAAGACAGAAACATTTAAAATAAGTAATATTGAAAAAGGCCTCAAACTCTTACATTGGTTAATTAAAAAGAAAGGCAGGTATATCTCTCCTTTTGTTATTTGGAATGCCTGGTTGTCTGGGATCCTGTAGAGCCCAATAGATATTTTAAGAGGGAAACTGGTGATTTGCCAACGTATTGTGATCCACAGAGCATCTTAGCTCAGCAGCAGAATACACATTTTGCGTGCAATAACATCAAAATGCAATCCCTGGCATCTTCCTAAACAACTGAGAAAGTATACTGAGATGTTGGAGAGATAGAATTCTGAGCCAGCCAGGTCAATACTCTGGCAGAAAACAAAGTTTCCTTTATTTCTGAGACAAGATTACAAGCCAGGTTTTTGTTTTGTTTTGCATCAGTACAGCTGAGTGGACCTGTTCATTCTGCATGCTGGGGCCAAAAATTATGAGAAATAGGATTGTATTCACAAGGCAGGAGATATCTTATAAAGACCTTTTAGGCACTCCGGTCTTCACAGTAAATTCACCAGTGGTGACACACATATAAAGAGGAATTGCTTTTTCAAATGCAAATTAACCTCTAGAAGCCAGAAGGAAGATAAAGCTGTAATACAATCAGTTCATTTAACCTAGGGAGATCAGTTTTGAATAGACAGTAGAAACATACACAGAAATATAAGGAAGATAAAGTCAAGGTGAAACTGGTTACTTGAGGAACTGTGTTCGATATGAACCTTTTTTTACCTCTTATTGCAAGGTTTTGTTCTATATATCACTGCAGTTGGAAAGCCAACTGGTTGGGCCTTTTCCATGAAGCAGCTCATTTGTGGCACTTTCTCTCCTGGGAAACTCGACTAGCCCCTTCCTTAATGCCTTTCCAGGTAATGGTTAACTTTTTTTATTTTAATTTTGTCAGTCCTTTGACTTGATTTGCAATTTGCTATGAAGTACATTTTAGCAGGCCCAAGGTTGAGCATCATGTTTACTGCTAGATTTTGTATCTTCTACCTTAGATGTTTGATGCCGCGTGTCTCGTTACCTTTTGCTTTCAGTTTAAACCACAAATTCTTTACAAGCTGTGCCCAAAAGTAGCATAAAGCACCTCCATAAATAACAATCTTAGAGACTGGGGTCAGAGAGGATATGGTAGCACAATCTAATGCCGCATTTCTCAAACTTGGCAACTTTAAGATGTGTGAACTTCGACTCCCAAAATTTTGGGAGTCGAAGTTCACACATCTT